ACATTCCCTTCTGACATCACTTCCTGTTTCTTCACGTGCAAATATCTCAACAACCGTTCATCTTAGTGGCGTGAAATTCGTTTTGCAATATGTTATCAATGTTCTCTTTCCAAAAATGYATTCATGTTTATTACAAAAATTTGATGTCACAGGCACTTTAAAATCTGATGAACCATAAAGCCTAACTTGGGGTTTTTGCTCTGCAGGATTGTTTAGACAAATTTTCCAAAAAGCTGTCAGTCATATTGGACGCACATGGGGTGAGTTCATCTTCTTCATCTGCTTCATTACATTCCAGTCATGATGTTTATCAGATGCAGTATGTGGTCGAACCAGGTGTCTGTAGGGTTTTTATTTGTCTTGATCTCCTGCAGGAGGTGATTGAGACCACACAGAAGGCGGTGAAGTTGAAGCTGCAGACCTTYGTGAAGGAGTGAGTCGACTGCTTGGCTTTTGTTTACGCTTCATCTAATCCTCAGGGATTTCGGTGCTTCTTTCTGAACAGCAACAGTGTAATTGATGCAACATTTTTTAGACGCAGTCCCTCCCATGATTATATTTCAACCAGCATTCCTCCAGATGTTGCATCACAGTTTGTTCCTGTTGCTTTAAATACTTGAGTAAATCAGATAAGATGCTGAACTCACAGGTTTACTTTACATTTCTACTCTTCATTTTTGAAATATTTCTAGTTTGAGAGTGTTCCTTAGAAAATACCAAACGCTTTGGCGAAAATCATTAAAATCTGCAATTAAATATTCTAACAAAAAAGACCAAACCTTCAAAAGCAACCAGACGTTTGCTTCACTGTAGCTTCCTTAAAAAAATGCATTTTCCAAGATCAAATCTTAAAGGTGATGAATAATTTTCTTCCTGTTCRATGGTGTTTTCCTCATTTCTTTTCCCTCCTTCCTCACAGGGATGTCCGTCGGTTCAAGGACGTACGTAAAGAGTTTGAGCGCAGCAGTGAAACGCTGGAGACGGCGCTGTCCAAGAAYGCTCAGGCTCCACGAGGGAAGCAGCACGAAGTGGAGGAGGGCACCAATGCCCTGCTCAACGCACGAAAAACCTTCCGCTCAGAGGCTCTAGATTACGTCCTGGAGGTAAGAAAACCACTCAGAAGTGTTAAAGGAGACATATCCTGCTTTTAAATCCTTCTTTTTCACATTTAAATTATTAATTTGGGTCTTTTTAAAGTATAACTGCAATGATAATTCCTCCTTATTGTAGCTCCACAAGCCCCTCTTTCCCCCCTTTTCTGAGATGTGTCTGAGAGCAACCCATTTTGGTGCTGCCTCTTTAAATTCAAATTAGCATTTCCACCCCGCCCCCTATTCAGAATGTTCGGCCATTTTTGTAGTTTGATAGCAGACATTAGATTATGGCCTCGATCCATTATCTGTCATTTTTGAAGGACTACTGGAAAAGTAAAGGACGCGTGAAAAACCACGAATTTAACAAAAATCCTTTTACCTGAAAAAATATTCAAAATATGTTCAACAAGCAAAAATATAAAAAATGAAAATAAAGATTCTTTTCTATCTTTTTTTATTATTATTTCCAGTAATACATGGCTAGCACGTTCAAAAAACTGTATTGTTCTGTCCTATAATCCTTCTTAGTCCTTTTTTCCTTTACAGGAAGTTAAGCTCTCAAAATAAAATCAGAATTTCACAATAATGTTAACTTAAGCTCTTGTTTACCTCACTTACTGTTAATTTAACGACAATAGAAGTTAATACAAAATATAAACTTGTATAATCCTTATTTATGGCTCTAACAGATTGATTGCGTAGCATCGCAGAAATTTTTTATTTTGYAAATTAAATAAAAGATGTCAACAACCAAAGACTTGTYCATCCGRCCTTAYMTGTTGAGGCTGACMCAGAGCCAGAGGAGAATAAAGATGACAAAAATTAGTTAGCCAGGAGTTCATGGCCTTGTTTAGCAGTTCTGCAGCAAATACTGTGACTTAATTATTCAAAAAATGTAATAGAAAAAAAAAGAAAGCTGAACTGGTTGACTCAAGAGTCAAACAGCACCAGGAGACTAAAACAACACATCTAATATAGAATAATCTCTGCTTCCTGTTCTTTCAGATTAACGTCATTGAGGCCAAGAAGAAGACAGACATTCTGATGGCAGTGAGTTCAGTTATATATATAAAAACCTAAAGGACTCTGAAATGTCCTCTGTATTGTGACTGGTAYGGACGTATCTGTTAAGGTGTTTTTTGTTTTTGTCTCCTGTCAGGTGTTRTCTATGATGGAGGCCCAGGCCCAGTTCTTCCAACAAGGCCACCAGTCTATGTCAGAGCTGGACGAATATCGGCAAAAACTAAACGAAGAAGTAATTTTTTTATTATCATTAATCAAGCTTTATGTCTTGTTGCAAATTACTTGAGACATCTGAAGCCATTTTGAAACTAAAAACAGAAAATTGGCCACATTTATTTGCTAGTTAAAGGATTTCCGATGCTTGTTCTGATTTTTATTAGATTACAGCAGCATTAAAGAGGACAACATATTTGCTATTTGTTGTTTGACTAACTTTAAACGTTTTTTTAAATATAAAATACAAACTTGATYAAAGAAATGCTTTTATTCTGAAAGAATTAAACTAGAAGTAGCACAAGTCAGACAGAGCTATAGTTGGTTAGGATTGGCTGATTTGCCACAGATGATCCTGCCCACCTTCAAAAATAAACCAAAAGAAGACGGTGGGTCTTTAACTGGAGGGAGATGAAGATTTGTTTAGCAGTTAGCTTTAGCTAAATGTGGATGTTGGACATGTGCCAGGTTACTGTCAGCGCTGCTGTTTGTTCTTCACAGTTATTCCAGATTCATTTCTTGTTCAGAGACCAGGAAAAGCCAGAAATGCTAGTGTTGTAAAAAAAAAAAAAAAAACGGTCCAAATCTGACAGGCAGATTAACTAAGATCAGGGGTGTCCGATCCTGGTCCTCGAGTGCCACCATTCTGCAGGAAACAAGTAGAACATGCAGGAGGGTGACCCTCAGGGACCAGGATTGGAGATCCCACTTCCAGTGATGCCATCATGTCACTAAAATAATCAATGCATTATGGGAGATGTAGTTTATGGTCAAGCAGCTTATTTGAAGACATCAGTTCATCTTTGAAGCTCTCGTGGGTCATGTAAAATGCTGTGTCGGGCCACATTTGGCCCACGAGCCTTGAGTTTTCCACATATGCTTTAAGCTGTAGCTTAGTCATTCTGTTTGTCCACGAAGCCCAGCTGTGTGCAGATTATAGTGGGCCTATGGTCGTCTCCTGGATGTGTCTGATTAATGCCCTCCTTGCCCAGAGGTTTGGCAGGCTTGCGGTGGTGGCGTCATCTTTCCATTTCCTAATACTGGATTTAATGCAGCTCTGTGGGACAGTCAGGGTTCTGAGTTTTTTTTTTTTAACTTAAACTGTACTTTTCCATGATTTAGTCTCTGGCCTGTGAAGAGCTCCTTGGTCTTCATGCTGCCTCTTGCTCATTAGCTACGTTTTACATGGACATAAGTARTGGGATTAAACGGCCATTCGGAATAAAACTGCGTCATGTAAGCACCCCGTTCGGATTRTTCTGACCCGATTCAGCTCGATACGAATTAATTTGTAATCGGAATGAGAGAGGTGGTTTGTGCCGATTGATAATCTGAACAGCGTGCATGTAAACACTTAATCCGATTATTTTATTCTGATTGTGGAAAACTGACCTGACTGCGCATGTCTGCTGACTTTCATCCAGCTGTTTCTGCTATTGTGTGGAGGGAGGGAGTTTCCAGCAGCACAGTAGTTTTCCTCCCATTTTCTCATAAGACACACAGCCTGCGCTGCTTCRCAAAGAAATAATCATTCCGATTATTTAATCCGAATACATTTCAATCCGTTCAAAGAATTYTGTGCATGAAAACATAGCTAYTGTGAGGTGAGCTGTTGATCTGAGCAGGTGCAGATGATTGCTCACATGTGAATTTTTAATAAATAACCAGGCTTCTAAAGTTGACAATTAGGGGCTGAATATATTTTGCACACATCATTATTTTAATATAAATACATATTTACCATTTAACATCATTAATCTGAAGTATTTTTGTACAATTGTTGCTTTTAATCAAACAAAAATTGTAACTTAAATCCAGGCTTTGAGGTGAAAAAAATCAGGAAAAAAAATAGCAAGACTGGGTGAATACTTTCGCAATCACTATTTGAGGTTTGGCAAAGTTGCAGGCTGACATCACACTCTCATTGTGACAGGAAAAAGTGAGCAACAACAGGAAATATTTCACATCTCTGTGCTGTGTGTGTGTGTGTGTGTGGTGGTGGTGGGGGGGGGGGCGGAAATTGAAAAAAGGAAAACCTTTAAGCTGCTGTAGGTTGCTTTTATAAAATCATAAATTGTGAAAATGCTCACCGAACTAAACCATTGAGACTCTTCCTGTTTCACCAAGAGAAGCAGAAGAGGCAGAAATTAGAGTAAACAAACATTTAGAAATGATTTACAAGAGACACATCACGTGCTGCTGTGGGACTGTTAAAAAAACATTTTCCTATTCCTGTTTCCAGAAAAGCCTCCAGATGTAACAACCTGCTATTTGAGAGGAAATAAAAGAGGAAACATTTTAGTTACAAGCAAATTAAAGAGGTGGACATAAATGATGCAAAACCTGAGAATTCCCATATTTTTTATTTTCATTCATCATTTGTTTGACATTTTAACTGGTGTAGATTTACAGTTTTCACAGACAGTGGTTTAGTCTCCATGCATTTGTTTTTATGTTCTTTCATGAAACCAGTAAAGTGTGTGTGTGTGTGTGTGTGTGTATTAAAGGAAAGTTTGTGCTGGTAAAACATGTAGCCAGAGAGAGTGTATTATGTGGCATGTAAAAGCCATTTTACAGAGGTTCTACTGTTACATTTATTACGTTCTGTCATTTTTTTTTCTTTCTAAAAGTGGCACTCCCATTAATATATTCTACAAGGTGAGATGCCAAGATCAGCGTGTTCTCGTCTTTCAGGTTCAAACTGCACACAGGTGGCAAAATCAGACTAAAACTGATACTGCTCSAGGCACAAAGTCAAATGGGGCGCCAAGTTTAAAATTTTCACATTTTCATTATTTAGCTCAAATCCTAGTTAAAAAATGTTCCGTTAACATTTTATTGTTGTTTAGCTCACTGTTCTTACGTTTTACTAATTTTCACGAAATGTTAAACAATAAATCCTAATTCTAAATGGAAAAGTTGAAATGTTGAAATTTACAATCAATAATATTTGAATGGAATGCAGCCTTTGCTTTTGGTGTGCAGCGTGTTATGGTGTCATCATCCCGAGACGAAAGCAATTGCTAACACCAATAGTTCTGCTAACTCTGCTGAAAATGGAATTTARAATCTAAATTCAAAATGTGTTTATTGAAAACATCATGGATGGTGRTTCTGCAGTTTGAAGTTTGACCTGTGAGTTTTTTGTGATGTCTTGTAAGGAAGCATTAGCAGTGTTAACAGCATTAGCAGTATTATCAGCATTAGCAGTGTTAGCAGCATTAGCAATGCTAGCAGAATTAGCAGTGTTAATAGCATTAGCAGTGTTAGCAGTGTTAGCAGCATTAGCAGTGTTAGCAGCATTAGCAGTGTTAGCAGTGTTAGTAGCATTAACAGCATTAGCAGTATTAACAGCATTAGCGGTGTTAGCAGCATTAGCAGTTTTAGCAGTGTTAGCAGCATTAGCAGTGTTAGTAGCATTAGCAGTTTTAGCAGTGTTAGCAATATTAGCAGCATTAGCAGCATTAGGAGTGTTAGCAGCATTAGCAGTGCTAGCAGCATTAGTAGTGCTAGCAGCATTAGCAGTGCTAGCAGCATTAGCAGTGTTAGCAGCATTAGCAGTGCTAGCAGCATAAGCAGTTGCTTTTGTCTCAGGATAATGATGTCATAAGAATCCAGCACCAACATCAAAGGCTGCGATCCATTCTGAAATTCTTGAATGTAAACTTCAACATTTAAGAGTTAACTCTTACATTCAGACTTACACATTTAGATTTAGTGTTTAATATTTACATTTATAAATTTTACATTTAGTAAAAATTACCAAAATATAAGAACAGTGAGCTAAATAATGAAAATGTGTTAGTAAACTGATAAAATGCTTTGGATCATCACTGACAGAAGTATTACCACCTGCGGTACTCTTGTTTCTCTGTGTTTTCAGCACACCCAGTTTGTGTTAAATGCCGCCCGGGAGAAGAGGGACATGGAGCAAAGACACGCAGCAATCAAGAAAAAGGTACCACAAACGTCTTCATTGATTTTTCTCATTGGTACATTCTGGGTAATGTAGGTGCCAAGTTTCAAGAAGAAACGAGGGCTGTGTTCAGATTGTCCACTCATTCTCTAATCAAATAAAAAAACACCTTAGTTGCTACTAAACAACTTTAATCTTTTGTGGAAATAAACCAGGCTGAGGATATTTCTGGGTAGAGTTTCCATGTTCTCTCCATGCATGTGTGGGTTTTCTCTGGGTACTCAGCTCATTCCACAGACCAAAAACATGACTTTTAGGGTAATTGGTAACTCTAATTGTCCCTAGGTGAGAGTGAGAGAGTGGATGGTTGTTTGTCTGTGTGTGTGACCCTGTGATGGACYGGAGACCTGTCCAGGGACCAGTGACCCTGAAAGAAAGAAGTGGGTATAGATAATACATGAAACAGACTAACTAATTATATTAAAAAAGAAAACACCCAATAAACACTACAGCATTCAGCTTTGTAAGGACTCAGACTTTCTTTTTTGTCTCTAAGATAGTCTCTGTTGTGAACTGAACTAAATAATCTGATATAGATTAACAATGGTGCAATGATAATCTGAGTGGCTCAGAGTGATTAGCTTCTCTTTAACACCAAAAGGACATGTCCTACGATGACTCCATCATGGATTTCAATGCTGACGCTGCTAACGGGATCGCAATGGAGGGTTACCTTTATAAGAGGGCCAGCAATGCCTTTAAGACCTGGAGCAGGTACGCTCTTTTATTAATTCTTCTTACAAACCAGCTGCATTTCTCTGTTTATAAGCCTCAAACAAGAAGGATGTCTTCATGATTGTCCCCTGTGTGTTGTTGTGTTTAATCTCCACTTTAGACGTTGGTTTTCAATTCAGAAGAACCAGCTGGTGTATCAGAAGAAGTTTAAGGTAAGTTATATACAATATCTCTTTAGCGCGCTGCAGGGAGCGTAAACAGTACTAACTGTACTCTCTTCCTGTCCACGACGCGTACAGGACCAGCCCACCGTCGTGGTGGAGGACTTGCGTCTCTGCACAGTCAAGCCCAGCGTTGAGAACGAGAGGCGGTTCTGCTTTGAAGTGGTGTCTCCGTCTAAGTGAGTTCGTGTGGGCGCACAGCTCCTTGCGGCCACCGTGTGTGCGTGTGATTGAGACACGCTGGTTGACCATTAAGGTGTCTTGTGACCTTTTCTCTCTAGCTGAAACACAAGTTGATCAGTGTGTGTGTGTGTGTGTGTGTGTGTTTGGACAGGTGCTGTTTGTTGCAGGCGGACACAGAAAGGCTGCAGCAGGCGTGGATCAGCGCCGTCCAAAACAGCATCGCCTCGGCCTTTCAGGAGCGCAGAGAGGACCCACACAGTCCAGTGAGGACACATACTTACACAGTCTAGTACTACGATCTTCATGGAGACTTTGCATCGACTTCMATTKATTTCTACAAATCAATGGACACTTAGTTCATACCTTAGCCCTAAACCTCGATCCACCARTGACATTTACCCTCATGGGGATGTCCTATGAGTAGCAGCTGGTCTCTGCAATCAGGTCTTTTTGTGCCCACATAGCAGGGAATACCYRCTCACACTCTATCTTTCTCCTGTCCTGTTCTCAGAGGCAGCGCTGCAGTTCGGTGTCGACGAACAGCTCGGGGGGCGGGGGATGCGGCGGGGGCTTGGATCAGGAGAACGAGGGCTGCAAGGCGCTGCACGAGATCCAGACAATTCCRGGGAACAGACAGTGCTGTGACTGCGGCGAGCCCAGTCCCGAGTGGGCCTCCATCAACCTGGGGATCACGCTGTGCATCGTCTGCTCAGGAATCCACAGGTAGAACCGCCGCCATGCGAGGCCACGCCTCTCTGAGGGTTTATTGTCCAGTAGATGCTCAGATGATGAAATCTTCCCAGTGATGATTCATGTTGGAGTGTTTTAAGACTCAGGATGGTCTTCACTTAGACAGCTGGACAAGTACACACACACACACACACACATGTAGGGGTTTACTATCTTAACCTTGACTACTTACCCTAACCATAACCTCAACCCAAAAATAGTTTAGTTCTTTGTGTGGAGCAGACAAAATGTCCTCACAAKGATGGTCTAATGTCAAAATATGTGTGCACAAAAATAGCAAGACATGCACACCTACACACACATGTTGGTTATGCTGTAATGRTTTCCATTTCCTAACAGGAGTCTGGGAGTACATTTCTCCAAAGTCCGTTCCCTGACTCTCGACTCCTGGGAGCCAGAGCTCATTAAGGTAATTTGATTTTTTTTTCTTGCAGAAAGAGCTACATGATTTTTTTTCACTCCAAAAACAAGTTCCTGTGAGAATAAGAGTTATGCAACGTTCATTTCAACTTAAAGGGGCAATATTATGTGTTTTATCAGGCAAATATTTAAATACTGTACCATAATAAAGTATCTGTGTCACCTTTAGTTGTTATTAAAATGTTGTTTTTATGTTTAGAGTAACTTACCCCAAAATTAACTTTTTTTAGCTGATAAACTGTCTAGAATGTGTCTAAAATGTTATACAGTACTGTTTCTGTGCTAATTTTGATGTTTTTGTGCGTATTTGTTCAAATCTGTAATATTTGGTCTAAAAATGTCTTTTTGCTGCTCATATGGGT